ATTATTTTGTCGTTATGCCATTCTGCTAGGTCGAATTCATTTTCTATGAGATCAGCTTTAAATCTTCTAATGTGTTGCACCCAGTCAGTAGTACGGTCGTCCAGTGGTCTAATCGTCTTTTTTCCAACTAGTTTGTCACGATATGATGGGATCGGCGTGGTGACTCGTGATGATATTGTGTTTATAGATTTTTGATCCTCAGGTTGTTCCTCTGTTGTTATGTATGGATTAGTATTAAACGTAGACATTGCACTAGATTGTAATAGTAGCTGTATGCGTTGTTCATCTGACATTGATGCTACATCTATTGGCCTTTGTGTGTTTATTGCGAGTGGCTCAGTTTGTGATTGTAGTACAGGCCCTTGAGTTTCTGGGTCCTTGGCTGGGTCCTTCTTGGTTTGTATAGTTTGTAGATCTATTTCTCGCGTGCTTTGATCATCGCAATCCATTTTCTGCATGGCGTGGGAATTTTCTCCCAAATCAGTATCTATGGCCATTTGTGTTTGGTATGACGTCATTTCTTGGCTGACGCTTGTGGAAGTGGTTTCCCCCACTTTTTTTTCTATTTTTTTTTCCTCAAAGAGGTTGTCGTCTTGCATACTCGTAGGGTTATGTCTTTGTTTTAGTTTCTTTTTTGTTGGAATTTCTTTCATAATATTGTGACTCACAAGGACAATACTGTTTGTAGTTGTTGTTGTTATATTACTGCCTCCTGTTTTTGTCACCGACCGAGTCGGCGACAAAACTGCTTGTATATTATCTGCTGCTGTCGAGCTTCTGTCTCTTTTCTTGGTACTCAACTTGTATCTGGCCCTTGGTTGATGTTCCTTACACCTAGAAGTGTAGTATCCCCTAAGGGATTAATTTTACTATAAGTTTTTCCCTTCTAACTGATGGTTTTTTAGGTTTATTTTTGCAATTTATTTGTTTACTTAATGTTTTGGGATCTATGGGAAAGAGTTACCAAATGTTTTTTTAGAGTTTTTTTTATTATATCGACTTTTTTTTAGTTTTTTTTTGTGAAGTCGATTGGGAATATAAATCAGTAATATTCTTCTGATTAATACGTCTTACTTTATTTCTAGTTGATGAATTATTTGAACCATAGCTTGTTATATCTATTCTTTTAGATAAACTACTAGCACTAAAGATTGAGGCCATTATCGTAGCATTGATAACCACTACACAATGAAAAACTTCACTTTTTATTATTTTAAGCAAATATAATTGCAAGTTAATGATCATCTGTATGTTGTTTTTTGAATATAGGATCTTTGCTATGAAAATGACCCTCCGAGGCTATGTTGATTTTGTGAATACAAATTAAATTTGCCAGCTATCTAGTAATCCAATTTAAATAAACTTTTTTTTAATTTGTAAATCTTAATAAAATCTACAAATTAAAAAAAAATTTATTCAAATCGGATAACTAGATGACTGGTAAATTTAAATTTTATTCACAAAATCAACATAGCCTCAGAGGGTAATTTTCATAGCAAAGATCCATATATCTAGATGGATAGATAGATATTATACGAGATGCATTTTATCTTATAGTTTCTATGGGCGTAATTTCAAATTATACGTTATTTTAATAAACTCAATTTTTTTTTTTTTGTGATAATAATATATGGTTTAGCTCTATAAAGGTTCTACTATCTTATTATCTTCTTTTGGAACTTTGGAGCAATATGATAAGTATAGATATTGTATATGTACATGCTTAAAGATTCTTTTAACAATCTATTATTTTCTATATTTGGAGTTTTGGGCAGGGCAATATGATAAGTATAGATACTGTATGTGCATGTGTTCAAAAGATTCTTTTAACAACAATTTTGACAATTATAACCTTTTTGAATTAGGAATACACACACAATGATGAATGAGTAGAGTGTTTAAAAAAGAAATTTTAACAATACTTGACATGATCAATTATTATCCTGATTATATAGATATAGGGAAAATGTATAGATAGAATATCCTTACTCTTCAAAGCTTGATCTTTTGTGAATTCGAGTATTATTGGCACTGCTTACAGTATCTCTGAAAATAATACTTCTCATAAATAAAACCTAGGTATTACTTCTTGAATAAGACCTGAAAATATAACTACATTGATTTATTACTATATAATATACTTCCCAAATTTAGTATATTAGTTCTTCATACAATACTTATAGGTACTATTTAGGTTTAAACATGAAGCTCTTGAATAAGACCTGGTATTGTAAGCAGTGGCCAATAGTAGTTTCTGAATTCCCTTAGATATAATTTATAGTTTTCTTGAATTGCTGTATTTTCTTTATTCTCAATTAAACATAAATTTAATTTGCTTAGAACTAGGTCAATATCGTATTATGAACTATAGTAAAATTACTAATATGCAACTTTTTTTTTTTTATATACATTTAATTTAGAAATTTACTATATAACTATTCTAACCCCTATTTTAATTTGTTAATTTGTATGTTTTTTACAATCGACATTTTCTTGATTGTACCAGAATACTGCAAAAGCTATATTTAGCTTTTGCTAAAAGCTTATACAAAATTAGAATCTAAATACAAGTGCAAAATAATACTTTATTAATCGTGCCCAACACCTACAGGATCTTAATTATTTTTATAGTTAGAATATGTAAGATCTTATGATAATGCACAATCGAATATAAAATATCTTTAAGCTTTACAATGGTATATTTTTTTAATTTTCTCTGTTTTACATAACGATAACTGATAAATTTTATAAACTAATCTATTTTTAGTAGCAGATAATGTCTGGATTAGCAAGGCTACTTGAATTATTTGAATAGCATGATAAGCAATTTATGTTTATCTAATAGCTTGGATAATCTTAGATACCCTAGTCATAATCGAGGGCAAAATATCAGGTTATGTTTGAATTGGTAAGCTTTTGCCAAGTTGCTTTATTTATTGTGCTTTTAAATTGCTGTGATTAGCAGATTGTATTTGGGAATCAGGAATTTTGAGTTAGTGATACAAATCAAAAATCGATTAGTTGGCTTAGTTGACAACTAATTGATTGAAAAATTTTTGGCAACTTATATTAAAATTGAATAAAAATTAAATAATCGTTTAGTTGACAACTAATCAAAATTTTTAACGATTTGTATCACTAGTACAATATTAAAATACAAATCAATAAGTAACCGAGTGAAAATATCCTGGTTTAATTAATTAATGGCAAAAAATTATTATTCCGGCACATGCTTTGGATGCACTAAGTATCTTTTTTGTACAACTTCTAAAACTCATTATAACTGTGAAAAAAAAATATATATCTAACAAAAAAAAATAAAAATAAAAATAAAAAAATATTTAAACCACAATAATAATTGTATATAAAAATTTAATTCACTAATTAATAATTTTATTCAACTAATCAATTAATTGATTAATCGACTAATCGATTAGTCGATTAATCGATTAATCGATTAATCAATTAATCAATTGGTCGATTAATCGATTAATCGATTAGTTGATTAATCGATTAATCGATTGGTCAACTAATCGATTAGTTGAAATAAAATTGATTAATTGATTAGTTGAATAAAATAGGTTGTCAACTAATTGATTAGAAAATTTTTGATGATTTGTAACACTAGCCCGGAAGTTGGCAGTATGGATTTATTTTGCATTTTTGGAAGATAAATAAATATTCTGGCTTTTATTAATTTATTGATTTTATTTAACTTTACTACATCGAGGCAAGACGTCATAAGATTATGAATTAGGATAAGTAATAATTGGTAATCGTTGATGTCATATGCAAAAGTTTGATTATGACTTTTTTTTTATATATGATTATTCATATAAAATAAAGAAGGTTTAGGATTAAAAAATAGGAGATACGGCAATTGAATTTATTTCAAACATTGATTAGTTGACTTAGTTTACAGGTAATAAGTAATCATTTTTGTAATTCGTGTGATTTGTGTTATAATTTTAGATATATAATAACATTTTATTTGTTATTTATAAGAATGTAAATATAAAATAATAGATAAGTATGTAAATATTTATAGATAAATGTATGAATATATATAATATTTGTTAAAACTATTTGTAGTAAAACTATCTATAATATTTAGAAAAGGCATAATCTGGTATGTTGAAGGGGTACTATTTATTATTTATGAAAGAATAAAAAAAAAATAATAAAATTAATGATTTTTAAGTCGAGTATGTATTGATCAGGGTTGGTCAAATTACTGGTCAACCAAAAATTTATTGGTCAAACTGGTCTGGTCAAATTGGTCAAATGGTCTGGTCAAATTGGTCAAATGGTCTAGTCTATTAATTAAATAAATTTAGTATCTAAAATAAATATACTATATATATATATATAGTATATGTATATATATATAGTATATATATTTAAATATCCTTTGACCAATTTGATCAATACTAAACCCTTTGACCAACTGGTCAAATTGGTCAAACTGGTCTGGTCAAGCTTGACCATTGACTAGTTCATGCCAACCCTGGTATTGATATATGTAAATGCTAATATACTTATTTATTCGGTAGCAGTTTGATTAAATGTATTTAGATCCAAAGGTTTATTTAGAAGATCATTTGCCAAATCAGTAACCTTTGGACGAGAGTTGGTTTTAAGATATGGTTTAGTGGTAGGTGTGGTTTTTTTGTATCAGGTGCTTCTTTTGACTCTGGTGGCTATGGTTTAAGCGATGATGAAGGCATTTTGCTGATTCATATTATTTTGGTCAGTCGATTCCTATGAAAATTGCATTGAGTTATTTTTTGTAATTGTATTTAATTTCTGGTATTCCAGAAATGAAACAGCATGAATATGAACTATGTTATCATCATCGGTTATCATGAGTTCACCGTTAATATAGATTACATAATCTTTCTTTATAGCAGCAGTTGTATTTGTTAAATATTGTGCAGAAGTGGAATGATAGCATGTTAGTTTAAGATTAACATAACCTTGGTCCACATAATTTTTGGTTAAAACATTAATGACTATATTTTCGTTATCGATTTCTGGGTCTTCTTGAACTAATGCCATCATGTTGATTAATATCAGAAATGCAGATAAATTGTTAAGATCAAGGGTATTAAAACGAACAATATCATTTAAGGTAATCTTTTGTTAAAAGAAAAAAAAAAATTAACCTGAACTGTTGTCAATAGAAATCAGACAGATTACATTTTCAAAAAAATTTATATCTTAACTTTTATAGCTTATGTTTTAATGAATTTTTTTTAAAATGCAATCTATCTGATTTTTATTGACAGCAGTTTATTTGTTTATTAATCGAATTTTTTATGTTTAATAATGAAAGTAAATTATACTTTTAATATAGAATATTTTTCATTATTTTGGCCCATGTTTTTAACGATACGAAAATTTCTAGTAGTAAGCACCACATCTTTGTACTCAAATTCAGGTAAATTTAATTCTTGAATAGTATCGTGGTAGTAAAACCCAGTTAAAATAATGTTTAAGGAAGAGTCTAGACTTTGGGATCTTACAACACCTGAAGCTTTAACAATTGAAAGATTTTTATTAGGAATTAATTTTTTTTGGTAACTCGTTATATAACATAACACGGTAATGGAATCTGGCATTTTTTTTTTATTTTAATAATCGATGAAAGAATTGAAAAAAATAAACAAAGAAAAAACACAGCTATTTATTAATTGATTATTTATTTTATTTTTTATTTTTTAGAAAAGATATCAATTTTTTCATATGATTCAAATAATTAGTAATAGTACAGGAATATTACATAGATTCTATAATATTTCATTGTTTAATCAAAAAATTTTTTTTAAAACATGTTTGTCTGTTCAAAGAATTTAAGATAACGAGCATATACATGATATTTTGATCATCTGCACGTTATTTGAGTATACCTATATATGTTATTTTCAAGTCTAATTTTTTATGTTACAAAAAATTAGCCGACGTATTGATTGCTGTCAATAGAAATCAACAGATTGACACCTTAGAAAAAAAAGTCAATACCTTGGCTTTCACAGTTCACATCTTGAATTTCTATGTTAGCTCTTTCTTTTTAGTATCAGTTCAATAATCAAGTTGGGTTGAGATATGAGTTGTGAAAGCCAAGGTATTGCCTTTTTTTTCTAAGACGTCAATCTGCGTGATTTCTATCGACGGCAGCCCGCATAATATGGTGGTAAGGTAGTTATTATTTATAGTAAAAAGAATCATTTTTTTCAAGACAATAAAAAGTTATTTTTAAAAGGCTGCAATCTTTAAAACAACACAATTACTGTATCAAAATAGTCACAAGGCTAAGATCGATCATTTATCTAATTTAACTAATTTACACATCAAATTTAGATATCGATTGGATCATCTTCGTAAATTATAAGGTGCCAGAGGTGTTGAATGTATATCCAATTATAAACATAGTGCAGGTGTAATTAGCAATGATGTAGTGGTAATGCGAATAGTAAAACACACTTAGACCATAACAATTCTTGGTTTGTCAGGTTTATTTTAATGTACTTCTTTATTTAAAAAAAAAGCAGCCATACCTTTTTTAATTTGTTGTTTGAATGAAAAAAAACACAGCAGGAAGGTTTAATTTTCACATAAAATAGTTGTTTTTGATGTTTTTTTAAAAAAAATATCAAACACATAACTTGAACATCTTGTTAACTACCATTATTTATAATACAAAAAAAATACAGGTAGACAAACTTAGGAACTCAGGATCTTTCTATTTTTACTTTTATTTTCTGATGATGATGACAAAAAGTCAAAATCAACAAAAAAGGTTAACAAATTCTTCACCATGAGCGAACATTTGTGTGGTCTTTGATGATCAACGATTATCAATTAATCTGCCCTATAAAAATCTGACAAAAAAAAACAAAAAAAAGCACCAAAACACGCCTACAAATCTAGGGTAAGGGCAATAAAACAGCAAAGATGAAGTTCTTTTATCACCATTTGCATTGTATCATGCCTTTTTTTTTATTATTGCTATGAAAACAATAATTCTTCTTGTACCTGCACTTGCACTTGTACTTGTACTTGTACTTGCACTCGCTAATGATGATTCTTAAAATATTACAAAAATGACAGTATGAAAATTTTCTTTCTTGGAATTACGAGGAAATTTTATCTGTAAATCATCTGCAGGAAGACGTTACGAGCTACAAAAAGTTAACAACCTAAACCACTTACAGCACTACACACGCACGAATAAATATATATATGGAAAAAATGATCTGGTAAAATTGAGAATCTTTAATGATAAAAAAATCTTTTACTGTGTATTTGTATTTATAAAAAAATTTTTTATTACATTACAATTATGACAGACTTTAAATTTTATATAAATTTAAAAATATTTTAGTTGCTTCTTCTTTCCCATGTGTTTTTACACTATCTTGAACTAATCCTGCCAATTGCTTTTTATGGTTTGTACAAACTTTCGAAAGTCCTAAAGCAATATTTTTTTCATCAATATCTCCAGACAAAAGTCGTAATTTCGATTGCTTTAGGTCTTGTGTCATATTTGGATGGGTCTTTAAATCTAGTTTATTAAAGAGCCCTTTAACCTGCTATTGGTGGATTATGATGAAGTAAATTTGTTCTTTAATGAATTTATATAATAACTAATATTAATAAATTTTAGAGGTTGGGGTAAGACAAAAGTTTTGAAACTCGTTTCTAAACTCTAAAGAACCTAATAATTCTTCCTGAAAGCGGAAAGTATTATTAGTTATTTCAAAATTGGTGCATAATCGATGTGCTAAGTTTATTTCACACTCTGTTGGTTCTACAAGCCACTGTTGAAAACAACATAATAGAATACTCAGGCGAATTCATGGCCTAAATTTCTACCTAAACTGCAGATTGATAATAGTAAATGGATCCACAAGAATATCCATTTTAAAAAACTTTTATATGATTTGTTCCTTCCCTGTTCCAAATTGTCAAAGAACTCACTAAAGTCTTCATTATTTAGCAATTCAAGCACTGTTAGTAGTTCTTGTTTAAAAAATGTGTCAAAATTTTCTCTGAGTTCATCTAAAAACTTTAACCACTTATTTACTTTATCCGGTATTTTGTGAGCATATCGGCCAGGTGGAAGTTGAACCAGATGGTTTTCTTCTTGAATACGAGGTATGGAATCCCTTCTAACTATAAATTGCATCAAAGACTCATATAAGTGCTCACCGAATGTAACTAAACACTGAACTTAAATGTTTAGTTTTTCGTTTAAGAGCCAATCCCGAAATAAACGCCTAGTTAGTAAGTATAAAAAAATTTATTAATAGATCTATTTAAAATAAGCATACAAAAGTTTATGAATAGTAATTAAAAATTTACCAATCTGAAAGATATGCAGGTGGTATATTCTGATTATTTTTAAGTTTCTTAATGAGCCAATTAGCAAATTCTATGTGTGCTTCACGACAGGCTAAATATTGTTTTGCAGCAAGTAATTCATATCCCCAACAACCCCAAATTGGCAATTGATATTGAGAGAAATGACACCCTAATAATTCATTATATAGTTTTTGAATCTAATTTGACTTCATATTAAGAGGTTTTTTTTTATTGCTCGGATTATATCTGTCATGAAGGTACCAAGCCAAATATAGGAGATTATATGGTTGTGGTGTTCGTGAGAATCCAATCGAGAAAGGTAACTTGCCAAATGCCTCTTCGAAATTTGAAAAAACAATATGCATTATATGCATTCCACAACTGATTCTTACTATATCTACATTTGCCTTCTTATTAAACTGAATGATTGCGCCTTTCTTATTGCCTGACATATAGGCTGTGTTATTTGTTATCCACGTTGAACATTTTTTTGGATCAAGCCCATGGATTGTAATTGCTTTGAGAGTGCTGTCTGCTACTGTTTAACCAGTACAGTTATGTAAATCCTCAAGATTGGTTACAATTACTAATAGAATGTTTTTTTTATGATCCCAAAACATTATACATACAACAAAATATTTACTTTCTTCATGAGTTGATTTATCCACAAGGATTCCATACTGGGAACATTGTGAAGCCTTATATATTCTGGCTTCAGTCTCAATTTGTGAGACTTTTTTATGCCAGGTACTTAGGGTTATTGCAGATAACCATCTTTGTGGGAGTTTTTTGATTAAGAATTCATAGACTAGTCGCAATGATTCAACAGTCGCAATTAAAGAAGTTTGGCCAATTTGTGATATCTTTGTTGAAAGCCAAACCATTTTTGGTGAATATTCTCGATTATTTGTTTTAAATAATATGCTAATTTGGCGTTTGAATTCTTCATTAGGTATTTGCTTTCGTTTGCGTATTAATGACTTGATAGTTGAAATTTGCTTTTCTACTTTATTTCTGAGATGCCGATTTGAACTACTTACAGACTGAATTTTATGTAATAGATTTTGATTATTCCTTAATAGTTTTTAGTTTTCTGATTTTAGGTTTGCATTCTCAACTTTTAAAACAACTAGATTTTTACAACTATCTGTAATATATTCAAGGGCTTTATTTTGGAGATAGACCGAAATAATTTCATTTTTATGCTTTTCTTTTGGATTTCGCATTGATTCAATTAGATTTAATGCATTTTTCTTTTGTAGTTCTGGCATTTTATGAATAATATTAAAGATTTCCTCTTCTTGTGAATGGTTAAGTGTATTAGTAATAATTTTGCGGATATTTGGACGAGATTCAAGATTAATTTGAGGTATCAGATTATAAATTTGTCAGATTTCATTACTTTGAGATGTCATGTACTTCATATGATGTTTTTGTTTTGATAATTTTGGCATGTTTAGATAAAGAAAAGCGATTGGATAAAGAAAAGCGGTTGAATAAAGAAATGCGGTTGGATAAAGAAAAGTGGTTAGATAAAAAAAAGCAATTGGATAAAGAAAAGCGATTGGATAAAGAAAAGGCGATTGAGTGATCGAAGCAATTTATTGATTGTACAATTTCACGATTTTTTGAAAAAATTTGTTGCTTTATATATTTAAAAATCATATAATTACCAACTATAAGTAATTAATTTATTGAAACAAAACTAAACTCGATATTATAATTTTGTAATTAGAGAATCACGAGATACTACAATCGAAGCAAAAACTGATACGGGACAATAGATAAATTACCCAATAAAGATTAGAAACAATAACCGAACTTAGCCAATAATTTTAGTTCGGTTGATCAGGTCGGTAAATTTGACAAACCCCTTGCTTTTGTTTATCATGATTAATGCACGACTGTTCTGGTAATTAGTTGTTTGTGTTCGGGTTTTTAAGCATCAATTGTTGCTATTACTGTTTTAGGTTATTAGTTGTTTGTTCGAGTTTTTAATTGTTGCTATTACTGTTTGAGGTAATTAGTTGTTTGTTCAAGGCATCAATTGACATTATTACATTTTAGGTAATTGATTGTTTGTTCGAGCTTTTAGACATCAAATAAATTAGATTATACAGTTTAGATAATTAGTTCGAGGTTTAATTATTATCCTTGTATTCGATTATGTAATTATGATAAAAAGTGTATTAACAAATCGTAGCTAGAGTTTGGAACCGATTTCGACCTTCGAATTTAAATCCGATTTCCTTCAGACCGGATTTAAATTCGAATATAAAACCAATATTCTGAATCTGCAATACTCACATTATCTACACAAACTCATAAAGAACAAAACTATTTTACACCAATAGAACTCCATAATGATAAAATAGTTTTCGTTCTTAAGTGATCAGAAGTTTTTGTCTCCAAGTGTATGTATGTATGTATATATGTGCATACAATGATGCTAGGCACAACCTAGACATAACCGAATATTATCAAGTAAATTCGGAATAAAATCCGATGCATAGTTTTATTAATTAAATTTAATACGAATCGAAAAGTGAAATCCGGTTCCAAACTCTAATCGTAGTATTGACAATAAAATAATATGAAATTATTTTATTGTATTAACACAGTATTTCTATATACAGTACTAACATAGATTTCCCCTTGAGCAAATAACTGTATTCATTTATCTTGTTAAAATGCCATCTAGACGCACTCATGTATCCAATGCTAATTCAAAAGCATTCAATTCTTATTCCTCTCCCAAAAAAAAATCCATCTCTAAGAAAAATAAAAAAATACAACCGAATTCATATATTATTATTATTTAAAAACACTTGAACTATGAAAATATTTTTCTCTAATTAAAATTTATTCTCTGACACTTTTAGCCCATTGATTAAGGTGCCCTAAGTTCAATTTGTAAAAATATCCTGCTTTCTATTGTATTCATTGCAAGCACGTGCATTATACAAATTTGGGTAACCAATATTAAAAACCATTGGAAATTAATAATTTTTTAATAAAAAACTTTTTTAGAAAAAATCGAGCTTTTTATTAAAATATAAAGTCTGTTGAGTAATTAAGGTAAAATTTCCAGGAAATTTATTATGTAAAATTTTGAGGAGATACGATTTGAAATTTGATATTTTCTTATGAAAACACTATTAAAAGTTCTTGAATTTCAAATCGTATCTCCTCAAAATTTTGCATAATAACTTTCTTTTAAATTTTACCCAATTACTCACCAGACTTTATATTTTAATAAAAAACTTGATTTTTTTAAAATTTTAAAAATATATTAAAAATTCGTTGAAAATCATGGCATTTACTATAGATCATCGTCTTCATTACACGAAAAAAATTCACTAGTAAAATTTACTGAGACTATAAATCTATTTGATCTACATAGTACATTGGACACCCCAATGTTACGTGTAAGTTCAAAATTTTCAAAAATTTCACCTTTTTTAGAATACGCTCTAACTATTTATGTAGGCAAATGATATTAGGTTTTCTGACAAATTAGAACATTCATCTACACATTCTGTTAATTTGTCACCACGTGGAGAACAGCGAGAACCAAATGATCTCAAAGAATTACTGCAAGCATTAATTTGTATACTAACTTGTTTGAAGGTAGAGTTTGGTAATATTTTCAATATTACGTATACATATTATATTTATACATTTTTATAATGTTCAAGCAGGGTATGCATGAAATTAAGCCCAAACCGATAATGTACAGAGATGTTCGATGGCCAAATATTATTCGCCATTATGACGGATATCAAAGATTTATTTTAATCGACTTTGACAATGCTACCTTTTCCCCTGCTGATGAGCCTTTAGAAGAATTTTCTGAAAGTGGTCATGCTCCTGAAATGCTGATTAAAAAGCATAATTATAAGGTTGATATATGGGGCGTTGGAAACTTAATTGGTTCATGTAATGTCACAGGCATCCCCCCAGAACTTTTAAGCTTCAGCACAAATTTGTGTAAACATAATCCAAATAATCGACCAACTACTTCAGTTGCTCTCGATCAGGCAAAGAATATGTTTAGAGAAGTAGTTATTTATAACAGATTAATCTTTGTTTTTTTGTTTGTAATATATCTTAACAAATTTTAAATTTTAGTGGTTTCCAAATGATGATTGGCTAGAAAGGATCGAAACTGCATAACGCATTTGGCCAGCTTAATCTGTAGTAAAGTTATTAGACTTTATTAATTAAGCAGGGTTAGAAAAATAAAATTAGCATAATAATAATAATTATTTCACCAGATGCTTTGGGTTCTTATTGTGAATATATTGTATTTTTTGTGTTCGAAAAACTGAAGCCTGCCCATATTTCGGGCTTTGTATTTAGCATGTGCTTGGTGTGACAGAATATTTCAAATTTCACCTATATAATCGCTTTTACTTTTGCTTGTGTATTTCGAGATTTTATTGCATCAGTAAATATGACTAGGGTGCGAAATGGGCCGAGTCGGGCCGGGCTTGACTAGGCCCGAAACCAACCCGAAAAAATATTTTTGAGTCCAAGCCCGGCCCGAAAAAAATAAAAATCTGAAGTAGCGGGCCCGGGCTAGGCTTATTTAAAAATTACGGTAGGCCCGGCCCGGCCCGGCCTAATACATTACATCTATTATCATAATTCCTGAGACACCTGTAAAAATTGGCCAAATAATTTTTCAGCCGATTCGGTTAAGTTTGTGATTTCAGAAATAATAGATTCAATAGCTATATCAGATATATAAATAATTTAAAATCAGGCAACTAATTAAATATTATACAGTATTATATGATTACATATCGATTTGGTTGAATACAGAATTATGATACTTTCAAAGCAACTTAGATAGCAAATACCGGTAGTTACAAAAAATTTAGAAGGCTATTGCCAAAAACTTAGGTATTAGCAAGTCTTCTATGAATTGGGTTCTCAGGCTCTTTCAAAGATATTGAAAAACTTCTATCACTTTCAAGAAAACCACGTTTACTAAACATAAATGATATAAAATATTTTAAAATCTTTAATGATCTATATATATTTTTTATTTTATAAATTTATCCATTTTTTTATTTCTTGATAAGATTTATTGGTTGACAAGAATACTTTCTCATAAGATTACGTACAAACTAAACACACTAATATGTTGGGTAAAGTATTCAAATGAAAATTTAATAACCTTGAATGTGCCAATATTATAATGATAAAATTATCTGTAGAACAAGTATAATACATATTACATATAAAAATATATTTTTTATATACCGATCATGCCAAAATCATTAACTGAATTGGCTGAAAAATCATTCAGAAATTTTATCAGGTGTTCCAGAAATTATGATGAAATGAGCCAGGTCAGGTCAGTTTTCTTAGACCCAAAAACAAGCCCGAAAATTTTTTTTGGGCCCGATTAAAGCCCAAGCCTGACAAAAAGCCCGTGTATGAATCTTAGTTATTATTTATTAGGTGGTTTCTTTAATACTTTGCTTCGTGTTTAGAAAATTACTAAAACACCAAAGTGGTAAACTAAGCTAATTATTAATAAATACATTTTGAACATAAAAGTAACAAGTATGACAACATTGGTGTAAAATTATCGAATGCACTTCAAAAAGCCTATTATTCAGCTTTCTTCACCTTTAATATTATCATATTTCTTTTCAAGAAATTGTGTAAAATCTTGAACAAAATTTGCAACCATTTTACTATCCCAATAATTGCTTAATACGTAATAACATAAGAATTAGATTTGTATTTTTTTTTTTTCAATCCGTATTCTATCTTGGTTGCCTATTTTTTTTAGAGAATTGTACCGCTTAGTTAACATTATCATTAGTTCTTTAATATTTTACATTAAAAAAGCCTTATATGAAAAAAAACTGGCTTTAATCTTATTGTATATCATCCTTTAATTTTTCCTAGCCTTGTTCCTTTCTATTTTTTAACAAGTCTTGGCTACATACTAACATTTCAGCAGTTTCTGGAGCGAGATTCAACCATTCATCATCAATAATCCTACTTGCGATACTAAATATCTGAACAAACAATAATATGGTTGATACAAAAATTTGGCCAACACTAAAACTAACCAAAAAAAAAAAATTTAAAATTTCTAATAATTTAATGGTTAGCTTTAGCATTAACCAAATTTTAGCATTGATTACCAAAAAATAAGTTAATTTATATCAGTAAGTTAATACTTAATTAAAATATTACTTACTGATTCGAAGGCCACAGAGGTTATTAGGATGGCAAGAATATCTATTACCATTGATGACACAGAAGGATACTTCAATTCATTTTTCTTCCACCACACTAAAACATCAAACATTCTAGAACGGGAAACAAGCAGATCATTCAAATATCGCTCAAATTCATTCTTATAATTCATGGCATAAACTTGATTATCCTTAAGAAAACGGGCATAGCCCTGTATCAATTTGTCATTCTGTAAAAAAAGATCAGAAAAATTGCTATAACTATTAGAAGAAACAGTGTTTTGTACATATGTTGATTTATAAATCATTGTAGCTCTACAAGATAAGGAATAGTTATTGATTTAGCAAAAAGTATTTTTTTTTTTTAAAAAAAAAACCGAAAGATAAAATTTAAAAATTATATATAAATAACTTTCCTTATTTTAATATCATCTAGCTTGTTTTCTACTTCAGCGGATAATAGGTATATTTTTTGCTGGTATATATGAGTAAGTAATGATATCTTGTAGTGAGGATCCAAAATCGATACAATACAGTGCATTTCTCCCATGTCTGCCTATTATTTATCAAACTTTAATTGCATTGGCATGATCATTTGACAAATCATGGAATTTGCATTAGTAATATTTTGTTCGATGTGTATCTTAATTGTTACTAAATAAGGAAGAAAGATGTTTGCAGTCGAATATTTACTTCCTAATATAATGTTCATGACTATATTAAAATTAATGCCCAATTAGTATGCTTTTGATAAATAAACCCTTAAAAAAATATTTAAAACTAATATAAATTTATGTTTAGCATGGAACAAAATATATAGAATTAAGAGGCAAAAGAGAAAAAGAAGGAGCTCTGGCTGCTATTCCAGAATATAAAAAAAGTCTTCGACTCAGTAGGACTAGAAATGCTTAACTTAGCACTACACAGAATCAAAATTTCACAGTTAATAATCAGCTTCATCATGAACCTGTTTGAGAATCAGGAAATGGAAGTCCTAACAAGTCTGGGAACAACAGAAAGGTTTATTGCAGGAGATGGCATTGATCAAGGAGAAGTAATCTCGCCGTTGGTTTGAAGAATCTTCTATAATCCACTTCTAACAGAAATACAAAAGAAAGAAAGATGAAGGTATAACTTAGAAGTTAGATGGCCAAAAAGTTTGAATAAGGTAGAGACCCAATCACAAAATATACATATACTAGTTATAGCATATGCAGACGACATCACCTTCATCACAACTAGTAAAGAGGAGTTGGAGGAAATAATAGAAATAACACAAGATTTCTATAAAATAAATGATATTGAGATTAATAGCAAAAAGTCTGAGCTCTTAATAATAGGAAGAAAAAAGACAAAAGAACCTAGATATATAGAGATGGGAGCAATGCATAGTAAAGTTACAAAAAGGAAAGCGAATAAAGTAACAAGATTCTTAGACATCTGATTATCTAGAAAGATCAATCATTCATACATAATAGATATCGCCAAAAAGAGATACAGGCCATAATTAAAGCAATATATAAAAAAAGTACAACTCTCGTATAGCTGATCTACATAAACAATAGAGTACTTATTCCAAGACTAGAATACAGAATGCAGCACTGTATAATCCCGAGAGACCAATGTGACAGATTACAAAGCCTACTGCTCAAAGTAATTAAAAACAAATCAGATTTAGCAACTACAATAGCGAATACAATCATAGCACATAGAAACATTGTAGGGCTTAGAACAATATAGCAGAATCAAATGACACACCATATAACAGAGCTAAGAAAAAGATTAAATAGCAATAACGAAATAGGCAAGGCAACATGGATCAGAATACAGCAAGCCCAGATCGATTGCAAAAGTACAAGATATATAACAGA